TATTTGCCCACATTACCCTCCCTTGCCCCTCTCCGTGTGTGTGCCACCATTTTCTGGCCTCTATGTCTGTCTAGTGGCTGTTCTGTTCTCTAACCCCAGATAAGTTTATTAGGGTGTACAATATATTGGGGGACACAATATCAGCACAGAGAGACATGAAAGGTAATAAGGGAAAGAAAGATAAATATGTTTTATCTCACATGAAGCTAGGCTGATTGCTGCAGTTAGCTGTTACTGCCCTGAGCCTTCTAGAAGAGATGGAATACCAGAGATTTGTTGTTTTTTCTAGCATTTGTTAAATGTATAAAACAATGAGTTTCATTATGACATTTCATACATGCATGCACGCACGCGCGCGTGCGCGCGCGCGCACACACACACACTTCGATCCTCTTCAATCCCCTATTACCATATCCTGCCCCTTCCCACTGCTCCCACTTCTCTACTTCCAGGCCTGGGTGCCAGATATTGGGATTAATCCACGGAGTCTATTTAATGATCAAAGGGTCCAGGAAAGCTGAGCTATGTCCCATGCTGAACGGCTTGGTCCAAGACCTCAGCATCCAGAACCACAAGGTAGCCAAAAGAGAGGGCTTTTGTTCATCCCTGGTCTTAAGGGTTCTCAGCGGCCCCGCCCCAGGGGCAGGTACCTCAAGGTCATAGGCAGGTGTAACAGCTACAGCTGCTCTCCAGGGGTGGTGCTTCAGGGCATGGCTCAACAGCTACCCACAACACCTTCCTCATACTTTCTTGTATTAACTCTATTATTTTCCTTTTTAAAAAAGCATTCTTCAGAGGCTGGGGAGATGGCTCACTTGGTAAAGTGTTTACTGTATATATATATATGAGTTCAGATCCTTAGTATGCTGTGGTGGATGTCTATAATCCCAGACCTGTGAAGTGGGGACAAGTACAGATAGGCTGATCACTAGGGCTCACTGATCATCCAAACTCTAGGTTCAATGAGAGACTCTGTCTCAAAAAATGTGAAGAGAAATTGAGGAAGATGCCTGTGTCAACCTCTAAGCCACTACCAATTCTCATGTGAACTACTACATCTATACATGTGTGCACGCAAACACACACACACACACACACACACACACACACACACACACACACAAAACCATCTTTCAGATTCAAAGGAATGGGAAGGAATTCTATGATGTCCTTGTAGTCCTCATGCAGTCTCTGGAACCTGTCTAAATTCCCACTTATTGCCATCCTCTGGAGTTGATGCCTTCGTCTCCAAAATTGCCTAACCCACCGGCTGGACTGACCTTGATTCCAGAGATAAGCACTGCCCTCACAAACCAGTGTTCTCAGAGTGTGGTCCTGGAGTCCATAGCAAAGCTCCAGTAACTCTGAGAACTCAAGAGAAATGCAGAGCTGGGCCTCACTCCCACCTACAGAGCCAGAAATTCTGGGAGGGAGCAGCAGGTTACACTGTCTCAAACACTCAGGGGTGTCTGTTTGCGTGTCCTCGTTGGAGAGTTCCTGATCCCAGAGGATTATAAGGAGTCATAGATTTTGATTCTGCACAGGCAAAAGCCAAACTACATTCAATAAGGAAAACATGATTGGAATGCTGGATGTCCAGGGTTTTGGAAACCTTTCTCAGCATTCCCAAGAACAGGGGGAGAGTTCCATCATTTCCCTAAAGCCCTCCCATTCTCTACTGGGAAATACACTTACACTGAAATGGTCAAAACCTCATTACTGAGAATGGACACGGCACGTCTCCAAACCAAGGACATGTGGCAGGTGCGGCTTACCTGGCAGATGCCACTTATGCACATATCCAGTGAGTCAGCGTTGCAACGAGTTCCATCCAACACTTTTGGTGCCAGCTCCACTACCAAACTCTGTCCCCGAGCATGACACTTGAGTGCACATGGGGCAGCGGGGTCATTGTAGAGTGGAACCCATTCATAATAATGGCCCTGGTACTGCACATCGTTGTAGGCTGAGCACTGCTGGGCTCTGAAGTCTTCCGAATCTGCCGGGCAGTCCTGCAGGTAAACAGAAGGAACCGTGTGCATGGGCACATTAACCAGCCACAGTGTCAGGGGAAGGCTGAACCAGACCCCACCCGCCTCCACTAAGACTCACCTGATTGCCTCATTGCCCACCCCCAACACCCTGAGATTACAGCCTGAATCTGCATTTCTACATCGTGGAATTCCACAGGGGTCTCTGCAGTGCTGACCTACTCAAGGGATCATTTTATTAAACTTATCAACCTTCCATCCAGGTATTTTTCCCAGCTAACAAAGGCATGTGATGTGTAAGTGCTAATTTTACCCTGGTTTAGCCATCTCGTGAATAAACTTCCAAGTGGATTGCAGTCTCCTTTTTGAATCAAGGAGAACCAAAGGCCTTTACATTTCCCAGGTGATTCAAGGTCTTCGTAGGGACAGTATTAGACCTCCCCCTCAGGAGCCATTTCAGTGGGACCATTAGCCTCCATTTTAGCCCCAAATTGCCTGTGTGTTTTTATTAAAGTATTTTAATTATATGTAATAATGAGCTTTATTAAGATATTTTCATACATGTCTATGACGTATTTTGATTATATTTGCCCACATTACCCTCCCTTGCCCCTCTCCCACTGACACCTTCCCCTGTCCAATTAGCTGTCATTCTGCCTTCATGTCTTATTTTGTGTTCCCCCGACAGCCCCACCCCCACCCTAGCAACTGGTAACTGCCTATCAATCTCCAGGAAGGAGTGTGGTCTTGTCCAAACTTCTGTGTCTGGTGAGAATTGCTGGCTGTGCCTCCGCTGCTGTTTAGAACATCTGCCTTCCCTCTCTCTCCTCTCCCATGGCTCTTCCCTGGTACCCAACATCTGTCTTCAACAAGCTAGTGCAAACTTCTGTCTGGGACCAAAGCAAATACAAGCCAACACCCTGGGGCACCCTCCTATCAACAGTAAAAAATATAAGTGTCGATGACGTGGGGGAGGCCTTTTTATTAAATTATGCATTCTTCCTGCTGGATGCTGGACGAGACAAATGTACACTCACTGGAACTCTGCTCCCCATTATTTTATACTCTCCTCATTAGGAAGATAATTAATGTTCATTCTAAGAACTTTGGGGCAAAGTTTCTCTTAAAATGAATAAGTTACAAAGATTTCTACACTTAAATATTTATACAAATCTTGATTCTTTTCCAAGGGTTTGTTTCTGGAAATAGAATTTTCTGAGTCCAAGTTATGCATCTTTTATGGACTCCTCTAATGTTGTGAAATAGTCCTCCAGAAAGGCATTACCATTAGCCGTGGCCTATACAGGCTGACTGCCTGGATCCTTCTCCCCCATTTGGATATTGTAATTTTCTAATAAAGCATACATAATGGAATTTCATTGCTTTAACTTACATTTTCTTCTGATTATTTAGGCTTCACAGGTAGTCTTGTAAGTTTGCTTTTTTTTTTTTTTTTTATCAAATCTTTGAAAATTTCTTGTTTTATGTCCTCTGTTCTGTCTTTGTGTTATTTTTAGCAGCTAGAGCTGCTACTTTTTATACTGAAGGCATCAAATCTGGTCATTTGTGTTGGAAATCTTTTCACTATTTAACTTTGCTCTGGGAGCCTCGTGAAGTCAAGAAGGCTTCAGTGTTTGTGCAGCCTGCTCTGTTAACGTTTCTTACTCTGCAAGATTTCCTCCTTTTTAATGGGCTACAGAATCTTTCCTTACCCTGCCCCAAGGACAAATAAGTATTAAATGTATTTGTCTAGTTCCTTTATAGGTTGGCAATGGCATTTAACTCTTTAGGGTTTGGGGTTTGGGGCTTTATGTATCATTGTTGTTCTGGGTTTTTTTTTTCCATTTTATTTTTGAGGGAGGGTCTCTGTGGTCCAGACTGGCTCCCCTTACATTTTGAACTTACAGTTGATCTGCCTTGTTCTGCCTCAGCCATGTGAAACTGTGACCAGTTTAACTCTTGGTTATAGCTGGAATTTTTCAGATGAATACTGGGAGGTAAAAATCTCACCCTATTTCCTCACAAAAAAGTAATAAATATGTTTCAACATGCTTCTAAAATAGTTTATTTCAAGTCTCATCTTTTTTTCCCATCTCAAACCTGTGTTTTACTGTTACAATGAGACAAGTCTTCCTAATCCTAAGTAGAGTGACTCTGTCTTGCAGTAATCCACCATTTAGCTTTTCTGCATTCCAGAAGCAGAAAAATAAGCCATCCTTATTATATTTGGATTGTGTTTGCCTACACCATATATATATCATATATGATATATCATATATATCAACATAAATTTCCCAGAGTCTAGCTTGGTCTGTGGGTCTGCAGTCCCATCCACTGCCCCACTGAAGCCAGGTCTGTATCATCAATTCCGCTGTAAACTTACAGCCACATAAAATGGGGTGTGTGCATGGAGACTTCTAGGAAAATGGAACTGTCCATAATGATCCATAAGTAACCTAATAAATTCACTTAACCCATAAAGCTGAACTTGAGCCGGGCAGTGGTGGCACCCACCTTTAATACCTGTACTCGGGAGGCAGAGGCAGGTGAATCTCTGTGAGTTCAAGGCCACCCTGGTCTACAGAGCGAGATCCAGGACAGGCACCAAAGCTACACAGAGAAACCCTGTCTTGAGAAAAAAAAAATCTGAACTTGAAGGAGTCATTCTTTGGGCTGTTGATGTGTCCCAGTTTAGGGATGGTTGTTCACTTTACATTCCCCCTCCAAACTATTACACAATAACTGTGCATGTGCTTTTGGTCTTTGCAAATACCCTCAGATCCTTTGGAAATAGTTAGAGAATGAGTAGAGCATGCTTACCAAACTTTCCTGAGGGCTCACTTGTACAATATTGGTGTAAAACATTCCAAACTCCCACACTGTATTCATTTTTGTCTTAACTAGACAAAATCTTATCTCAGGTCATGACAAATGAAACAAATCAAACCAAAGTAGACTGAAGATGAATACTTTTCTCTTTAGAAATTCGGATTCTGTCTTCCATGTGACCATAAGAAGGATCGATGACAAAGTGACATCATCTACTTTGCCACCAGCCATGGTCAGTGTTCTCTTTCAAATTCTTTGAAACCAAAGAAAAGTGTGTATGAAAGCTGGGAACAGATGCCTCCCCTTGCATTGAGCTCATGGGTGTGGCAAATGCTCTTTAGGGGCTGAATAGTCTGGCTGGCTGAATGCTATAAGCCAATAAAGTTTCAAAAAAAAAAGTAGTGAGTGCTAGTTAACATAGGTTTAGGATGTCTGCCTAAGCTTGGTCTTTGCCCAATGGGTGGCCAAGTTTGTCATCCTTGGCCAGGACTGACTAGAGTCACATCTGGTCTACACCAGGTCAAACTTTTCCAGGAATTTAAATTACACACCAAAAAGGGGGGCAGAGATGAGAAGTCACATGAATCTGGGGCTGGGCTGGCCCTTTGTTTTATGACATGTGTGCCCAAGCAAAGCCAGGCAGCTCCCATTACAGAGGAGAATGGATGAGATATGGAGGGAGAAGGAAAGTTGGCAAGCTATGCATTTCAGTAGAAGGAGAAAGTAGCCTGTGTTCCTCACTTTCAGGGTTCAGGCTTGCTCTCAAAACCAGTTTCTGCTTAAATAACATTAAATATCACATATTTTTACTGAGGGGCAGTGTGGCATTGTATTTCTTTGGGTTCTCTGAAGCATCTGACCTAGGACAAAGTTCATGAAGTACATTCAGTAGACACGTGTCACCTTGAACATAACTGTCCAGAAGAAATACATCTCAGAGAAAGGAACTTAGAAGCACTCTGGGCATTCAAGCTTTCTAAGGGTGACTGAACTGTTTCATGGATACCACTTTCTAAGAAATGGAGGAGACATAGTTACTTGCTTTCATTTACTTTACATTAATATAGCATCAACACTAAGCCTGCCCAGCGTAGCTTAGCTAGGCACAGCTCAAGACATTGTAGGATTTTTGTATATTAAAATAACCTAGTTTAGTCTCATAGTTGAAGAAAAATATGAGAGAACACAGCTCCTTCTTAAAAGATTAATATTTATTTAGGAATGTGTATATGCATGTGTGTTCACAGAGGTCAGAGGGAACTGTTGCAGCCCCTGGAGCTAGAGTTATAGAAAATTGTAAGCTTTATAATATATGTTCTGAGAACCAAACTCCAGTCCTCTGAAAGGGCAGCAAGTATTCTCAACCACTGGATCATCCAGCCCCAGGACACGGCTGAGCAGAAGCAACAGCAATAGGAAGAAAAGAACACCTCCAAGAGAAACACCTAATGAAAGACTGGTAGAAATTAGCCACTTGTGGGTTCTACGGCATGAAAGAAGGATCCTGCAAAGGCCATGTCAAATGTCACCTTTCCTGGAAGCCATCAGAAAGCCCACCATGCAGAGCTAACTGCTCATAAAAAGTTTGCCCATGTTGCAAAAATGTTTCTGCCCAGTTGTGATGTGCTCTGCAGTTTTGAAGACATTCTCCTTCGCTTCTCCTAACATTGCACTAATCCCATAAACCCTGGACTAAGAAAACACAAGGAGTCAATGGATTCAGGTATTAGAACTCCTGGCTGGCTTGCTCTGATAGACTCCTGTAAGAATCTATGCTAAATGCCAATCAAAGCTTATGTCTAAAGACTGAAGTCACTTAGGAGTCACTATCCTGCACAGACATGTTCTGCTCCCTAATTCTTCAGCCCAAGGCCCCATCTCTTTTGACAGAGCTTCTGAAATCACAGCCTCATTTCTTGGAGAGGACATGCCATGTCCTTCCTTCTCTGTTTTTGTCTGACCTTGGTTAACTGAATATTCAGGTCTGTGCCGCTCATCCAGGGCTTGTCCTATCGTGACCCCATACCCTAATGGAGTCTGTGGCAGAATATTTGTTTACAGTGGGAAGATGTGTCTTTGCCGAGGCACCTTCTGATTGTTTTAATAAAGAAATGAATGGTCAATAGCTAGGCAGGAAGAGGGTAGGCGGGACTTCTGGGAAGAGAGAGGACTCTGGGAAGAGGCAGAGACACCAGTAGACATTGAAGAAGTTGGATGTACGGTACAGAGTAGAGGTAACCAAGCTACACAGCAGAATGTAGATTAACAGAAGCAGGTTACTTTCAGTTATAAGAACTGGTTAGGAAAAAAAGCCTAAGCTAAAGCCAAGCTTTCACAATTAATAATAAGTCTCCATATCATTATTTGTGATATGGCAGTCCAGAGGAAAGTCTGACTCCGGGAGTTTGCCTCTCCTGCCATGTGAAGCATGGTTGGTCCCCTGCCCATGACAGAATTCTTCATCTGTGAGTTCTGAATGTATTTTCTATTGCCCTGTGCTTCTGGACAAAAGACCACCTGGTGTTTCCTTAGCCAGTGATGTCTGGTAAGCTTTTCCATGGTGGGCAGACTTAGGAATCACAGCTTCGGGGATGTCCTCCTCAAGCAGGGTCATCCTTTACATGGAGGGCCCACCTGAGCAAGAAGCAGAACACAGATGGGCACAGAGGACTTCATGTCTCTGATTTGGCTTCAGATGCTTCTCCTCCATGTCCTTCCTTCTCTGTTTTTGTCTGACCTTGGTTAACTGAATATTCGGGTCTGTGCCGCTCACCCAGGGCTTGTCCTATCGCAACTCTTGGGCTCATGGTGTTGCAAGCAACTGTGCTTTTTGTCCCCGCTGTCTCAAGCATCATGTCCACTCCTAACAAAGCTGGAGACACTGCTGAACTTCTTTCTAAGAGAGCACCTGCATCTCTCTCAGAAGAGCTCCCCAGAGCCCCTGCACTTACTTCATCTTGAGCCCTGTTGTTCCAGTTTGAGCATATTTTGCAAAAGAGGGAAAATGTTTGGAATGAAAGAGTGGTTGCTTTTATTGGTTTTTCATGCCTGATGTGTGTAGCATGCACATGTGCACAGCAAAGAACAAGAGCACATGCATGTGTGCGAATGGAGGCCAGAGGAGGCCTTGACTGTTACCCTCAAGAACGCCACTGACCTCCTTTGAGACAGGGCCCCTCATTAGCCTGGAGTTCACCAATTAGGCTAAGATGACTGGTCAGTGAGCCCAGGCTCCTCCTCTTTCTGCCTCTTCAGGGCTGAGATTATAAACCCATCCTCAGGCCTGGAATTTTCACGTGGGTTCTGGGGCTCGAACTCAGGTCCTCATGTTCACAAGGCAAACTCTTTACCAACTGAACTACCACGCCAGCTCCTAATTTTGCTTTTTATAATTGTAAAGCAAAATATTCTGATTCCTTTCAGTGTTGACTAACGTGATGGACCAACAGCAGGCTTGTATAAATCCTTCCTTCTGTGTGACCTTCTGAGTCACCTAGCCCTGTTGCAGAGGGTACAACAGGCAGTCTGCAGTGCTAGAAACACCACAAAACCAGTTCCCATCTGGAGTCTTCTTTTGAAGCTCTCAAAAATAATTTTGACCCCTCAGCCTGAGTCACTCCTCATGTGTCTGTGTGTTCATCCCTCAGCCTCAGTCCCTCTCCATGTGTCTGTGTGTCCATCCCTCAGTCTCATCCCTCTCCATGTGTCTGTGTGTCCATCCCTCAGCCTCATCCCTCTCCATGTGTCTGTGTGTTCATCCCTCAGCCTCATCCCTCTCCATGT